GTATCTTTTAAAATTGTGTTTGTCATTATCAAAAGAACATGCATGAATGTGTGTGTGTGTGTGTGTGTGTGTGTGTGTGTGTGTGTGTGTGTGTGTGTGTGTGTGTGTGTGTGTGTGTGTGTGTGTGTGTGTGTGTGTGTGTGTGTGTGTGTGTGTGTGTGTGTGTGTGTGTGTGTCAGAGTGTGCATATAAGTGGTAGTGTGAATGGTTTCTACCAATATACAAAACGAATATTGGCTTTTATTGTGGTTGAGTACCACTTCAGATTTTTCTGACATATAATTAACATTTTTGGACACTTTTAAATTGTTAATTTTGAAAGGTTTAGGTAAAGTGAGTTACAAAAGCTTACCCCTGTTGGATTATTTCTAAGATGCATTTTCACAAACCTTAAAGTGGACCTATCATGCTATATTTGAATAATATAGTGTAGGACCATACCTATATAAGGCATATTTATACTTTTTTTTTTTCAAAATACCAAACAGATCATGCATTTTAGCCATGCCTCATTTTGCTCAATTTGACCATTTCTGGATCTGTTTTAGCAAGGGCTGATTCTGTGAGAACAGCACCACCTACAGGCCTGGCATATGTACTACAGCGTCTCCAGCGCTTTCGAACGGCAATGTCCGTGGCTGTCTCCTCCTGATTGGTGGAGTTGGCCCAATAGCCGTAGCGCCACCGTCCTGACGTCAGGACAGTGTTCAAATCTGGATCAGTTTTTATCAGATCCGTTGCAGCCCCTTTTTTAGAGATTTGGGTATGGAGGAAAATAGAGAGGGTTGTGTTTTCTGACACTTGGTGAGTTCCCTGGAACACCGGGGACACATATTCATGTAGAAAAGACGTACAAAAGTGCATTTTGCATGATAGGTCCCCTTTAAATGGGTAGACCTGTAAAGGAGTCTAGCACTTGCATAACGCTTAAGGACTTCTAAAAAAAATAGAAAGAATAATCATAGTCAATATTGGTTGAGGCTGAGATATACTGTATCCCATCTTTTGGTCACTATATGTCAATCAACGTCCTAATACACTAGAACACACACTTCCCATAATGCAACTTGAATATGCAATTAGCTTTTCATGCAAGAATTAAACCAATCATTCACAAAGAGATAGGACCATAGCAGACTGGTGCTTCATTTATAAGGAGTGGACATTTGTTAGTATAAACATGAAATGCTCTTTTATTGGCATTGATGAAGCGAATCCAGAACTGAAAGCGTTGACACTATTATTTTTTTTTAAAGAATTTGCTTTCTGGATTAAAAGTCGTAGACGTAGCTTGCATTTTGTGGCTCCATTTGTATAACTCTATTTTTGTGTTTCTTTTACATCGCGTGTATACTATAATGTTGCAATTCTGTGCTGAAAAGGCAGCATCCTTGAAAGACTGACTTGTTGTATGTGTCTTGTACTTTGATGAAGGCCCTGTGCTGAAACATGTTGGTTAAATGTTCTGAAGATGACACTGTTAGTAGGCTTGTGTGGTAACGTTTTGGGTTCGGGTGTGGTTTTTTGAACACCTAATTGACTGGTGAACAAGTGACCACACGTTCTGTCTCCAAGGTATAACATTGTACTAAACTAAATGTGTCAGTTCATTAATCTGCTCATAAAGATGTATTACATTTTGTTCTAAAGTTAACAACCCTTCAAAAGTGTTCTTTCGCAGCAATTTTGCATGTGTTCTTACTTGCTATGCTGACATTAACATATCTAATATTATGCCTCCTGTTGCAATCCTGGGATAAACCCGACCTCAAACCCACGTGTTTCTCCATGTGCGTTCGGGCTTGTCCGTCTGAACACTCCCTGGACAACTGGAAGGAACTAAACAGGGAATCTGTATGAGTCATAAGGGTGTGTGTGTGTTTGTGTGTGTGTGTGTGTGTGTGTGTGTGTGTGTGTGTGTGTGTGTGTGTGTGTGTGTGTGTGTGTTCCCATCCATTCACCATAATAACACAGACCTCACAGGCCAGCGGCACCGAGCCCAAACCCATCCATCCTGATGACAAGCGGTGTTTACATAGTGATGGTTACTTACGGACAGAAAAGCATGCAGTGAAGTTTGAACTATGTTTTACACTCAGCGGCAGTAAGAGCTGCGACTCACAGCGGAGGAGCTGACGGCCACAGTTAATCTCATGATCTACTATCGAGTCTTAGTCCTCTCATCATTCTCACTGCAAGTGCAGAGAGAAAAGACATCTGGCTGTGGATTTGACAGAGAAAATGTGAAACTGAAACAGTTTCAAAAGTGTGTGAAAATAAGTGAGACCATTTGATTTTGAGCTGGAGGAGAAAACTAAAAGCCGATGGCAAGATGAAGTAACTTTAAAGAACCTCACTACCCATTATTCATTATTAATTGAGACTAAAATGTATAACTTTCTGAATGATTTCCCTTTGAATATAAAGGGGGAAAGGCACGTTTATTTACATGGCACCTTTCAACACAAGACAATGCAATAGAAGCATTAAGATATAGTGCAGATATCATATGGTGATATAAACCCAACATATCTGCATGGCTAGTGACCGCTACAGTTATGCAAAAAATATATTTAGTTGTATTGTAATGTGGGTGACTTGCCAATTTCTAAAGTATATCTACTCCGCTAAAATGAGGGATAGCATTACATTAACCCTCACCCTAACCATAACCATAGGAAATACCAACAAAATAAGTTAAAAATGCAATAAGACAAGTATACATTTCAAGAATAAAAAGGTTACAGTGCAGGATCAGAAAAGTTAGAATAGTAAGAAAAGTGATTTGAATAGAGTTATTTGATTCAACAAAAGGCAGCGGTAAAAAGAAAAGTAATCACTCTTGATTTAAAAGAGGTAAGAGTTGCAGTCATTTGGGGGATTTCTTCCAGATATTTTGAGCATAATAACTGAACGCTGCTTCTCAATGTTTAGTTTGGACTCTGTTGACTGAAGTTAACTATTGAACCACATTAAGGATTGCTTAAGGTTTGCAAAATTGCACATCGAAGTCTGTAAACAGCCAACCTTTTATTCTCTCACACAATGAGCAAGATATTATCTGACATATCCACTACTGTATATAAGACTTTATTATCCAGCTACAGCTTCTGTTCAGTCAGCTCTGTAAGGCTTTTGTTTTGGCATATAAGGCTAAGCTGTTGGCTTGACACCAACCAACCTTGTCCAAACACAGTAAAGAGATATGCTTAGTATTTTCCAAAACGTTTAACCTTCAATTCATGATACATTATGGTCTTCTCTAGACCTCAAATCAGTCCCAAATGATTGAGGCTAATAGATGAGAATATATTTTCTCTGTTAACCTCCAGTGTAGATCTAGGTCTTATTGGAAGAACGCTTTTTCAATAAATCCTAATGAAAGAACCTGAGTGATCTAATAATTCAGACGCTTGGATATCTTTCCCTTCACTGTGGGAGAACATTAGGTACAGAGCTATTGATCTGATATTATTACTTCTCATTACGGAGCCTATTTTACCTCAGGACCTGAAACAAGAAACAGACAGAATCATGCTGTCATTTCAAGTCATGTAATTGTCACAGTTAAACGACTCGGGCAGCTGGGGCACCTTGAAATCGAGGGTCAGGGCTTAAATGCTTCGCAGTCAGAAGAAAGAGACAGTCTCCCTCAGAGTTCATGGAGGGCGTAATAAAGGAAATTATACTAATAACTGGCGGGGGGATATGCATTGTGGGTTATGTAATTGTACTCTATATCAATCAATAAAGTCTTGGCCTGGGAAATGAGCCCCGCATTAAGTCAGGGAGTCTGTTCCTTGGCACCTGCTGTGAGCGCTGAAATGAAAAGCAGCATGAAGTGAAGGGAGGAAAGAGAGGACCAGCAGCAGTGAGAGGGTCTGTGAGTTTAATGCGCTGACTGACAGGACTGCAGTGTGTGCAATGCATGTTGGGAGGGGGGCAGTCAGAATAGATTGTCATATTTCTCCAATATGTGCTGCTCACCACAGGCGGTCAAAAAAGAAGAGAATACACCATAAAAGTTCCGGTTTTATTACCAGAGATGTAGGAATTCATATGTGCACTTATTTTATTATATACAGATCCCACAGGCCCTGTTATTACTGTATGCTACACATTAGCAGCTGGATACTTTATTAATATACCAAATTGTACTTGAGAAATATAATCCCAAAGGTTGCTAAATGGGAAGTCAGCAAATCAGTAAATGACTCCAGAGATGGAAAATACTCATGTCAAATGAGAACAGAAACGTCCTGCTTTGTGGCATGTATGATTTAATTTGTATGAAGAATCCCAGAAATGTGTTTTGATTGTAACCATGTCGTAGCATGTGGAAAAGGTATGAAATACAACAATGGGATGACAGGAGTCGGATACTTAGGAGCAGTAAAATAAAGCATAACTGCAGCTTTTTCACTCCATTAAATGTCTGCTCTCTCCGGTTCATGGAGGTCTTTACGTTTATTGTTTCTCTTTGAAAATGTCTTTATTGTCCTCTATCTATTTTATTGTTTTAATGTTATTGTTCTGCATCTAAATATTTTTTTTCTGTGACATGTTCATTAGTCTCCCATTGTTTCACTGCTTGTATTTCTGCTCTTGTGGTGTTGGTCGCCACACAGAAACCGAGGTTTTGATGTTTATGGATTGCACTAAGCAGAAGAATAACTGGGTAGTTAGTATTACAATAATAGCCTCAATTCTGCCACCAACATTTGGTTTCAGATGGACGTTTTGTTGCTAGTAGCAACAGCTGCTGTCACAACTCAGCCGTTGCATTGTTAAAATATACATCAGTACACTTATGCACTCATCAAATGTGGAGCTTTATCTATGCTTTCTTTCATTAAAGCAGTCATGTGATGGTGGATATGTTATTTACTTGTTCATTTGGAGAACTGACGCTCAAGCATAGCAAATCATTCTGTGGAAATTGTCCTGTGAGTTGTGGTGATCTAACCCCTGCTTCTTTATCCATGTTTCTTTTTATTAAGGTATCTGATAACTGGCATAAACGCCGCAAGACCGGTGGTAAACGCAAGCCCTACCACAAGAAAAGGAAGTATGAGCTTGGACGCCCTCCTGCAAACACAAAAGTGAGTAAAACCGTGATCACCTGCTTTCATGCCAGTGTTGAAGTGTGGGTGATGAAAAAGAGACCTTAGGTTTGTCATTTTTGAGCCGTTTTGGATCAAAGTTCTTGACTTACCAATGCCAGGACATGTCATAGTTACTCTGACACGCTTCAACACATCAGAATACAATCTTAACTCATGGATAACCTGAATCCTAGGAAACCGTAAAACGTACATTTGTCTTTTTATTGTTTTTCTTAGATTGGACCCCGTCGCATCCACACAGTGAGGGTGCGTGGTGGGAACAAGAAGTACCGTGCTCTGAGGCTGGATGTCGGTAACTTCTCATGGGGCTCTGAGTGTAAGTTTGATTTATTTCACAAAAGGCATCTTACAATGATGATAACTTTGTCCAGTTCTGCTACTGAATGCAAGTGCTGATATCAAAGACATCTGAGAAAGATCTGTTTCCTCTGCCTAGCATTTCAACGTTTTATTTAGTCATTGTTGTCCAACAACAGGTCCAAAGGGAGCAGTCATTTGCTTTTACTAATTGCTCTTTATGTTGTGTACACAGGCTGCACACGTAAGACCAGGATCATTGATGTGGTCTACAATGCCTCCAACAACGAGCTGGTCAGGACCAAGACCCTGGTGAAGAACTGCATCGTGCTCGTGGACTCTCTTCCCTACAGGCAGTGGTACGAGGCCCACTTCGCCACTCCTCTGGGACGCAAGAAGGGAGCCAAGCTCGTAAGTGGAAGAAAACACATTTCCCATACACCTTGATCTGTGTAGGGACTCATAACTCGGGCACTGACTTCAGTTTTTACCTCATTTGTGTAACTTGGGCCTGAGAATGCATCTATTTTGTTAAAGCCACACAAAGATACCTTCTCCTCTAGTAATTCCAGATCGTGATACTCTCGGGTGTTGCACGTCTTTCAATGAAGATAACTTTGTCCAGTTCTGCTACTGAATGAAAGTGATGATAATGTGACTCTGAGAAAGACCTGTTACCTGCACCCCCTTACTCCTAAAGTCCTAAACAGACAGAAACCTTTCTGTTTAGATTATTTATTTTAATGCTTATTTAACAGTTCCTGTAGGACTCATAAGCGCTTCAGATGCACCTCTAATGAGTAGTACATTTTTATGCATGTAAGAATCATCTTTCAGAAATGTACCACAATTCTGTTAATATCCTGCTAATGGGCTTTCTTTCCATTGTTAAGACTCCTGAGGAAGAGGAGGTCCTGAACAAGAAGAGGTCAAAGAGGACCCAGAAGTAGTACAGATGTGTGTTGTGGGAATGTCGTAAGAACTGGGAAGTTCTTGAGCAGGTTCTTGTTGATGGTTCTGATGTTACTCTGTTGGTTGGTTGGTTGTTGATATGTTTTGTGTGTGTTTACTGAGATTCTGAGGTTTTCCAAGCTAGGGTTAGGGTTAAGGTTGGGTTGTGAGATGTTTACAATGACCTAAAGACCTGTGGATGGGTGTGTTTGTGTGTATTAAGTCGGGCGTTTGTACGATTGTTTATGTAGTTGAATGCACCAGTGTCTAAATGTGTGTTGTGCTGTATCTGTAGTCCAAGTATGATTGTCTGTAGTACCAGATGTGTGTTGTGGGAGTGTCGTAAGAACTGGGAAGTTCTTGAGCAGGTTCTTGTTGATGGTTCTGATGTTACTCTGTTGGTTGGTTGGTTGGTTGGTTGTTGATATGTTATGTGTGTGTTTACTGAGATTCTGAGGTTTTCCAAGCTAGGGTTAGGGTTAGGGTTAGCCACTATACTAGCTCTGATTTGCTGCAAATAACATTCTAGGTAATAGTTAATGAAAGTGTGTGATGTAATGTATGTGATTATTGGCTGTGGTATGTATTTGAAACCGTACTTTATTGTCTGCTCATTTATGTAGTATTTTTCACAAGTGCTACCTGTAAAAAGTATAGTTATGTCTTTAAACATTCATTCAAGTGTGTTTAGCTAGCTGCTTGCTAAAATATATTTAAAAAAGCAAACAGTACCTGGTTAACTGAATTTACGTTTCTCTTAACATTTTCTGTTTTCACATGAATTACCGCTACACTGTAGTTTCTTTCAAAGTCAATCTTTTCAAAGTCAGAAGTTACCAATTTCACTTCTTCTTTCTTGGAGGTTAATGTAATGTGCATTGCTCTGCTCCTACTTATGATATGAAATGCCATGCAAACCTACACAGATCTTTTCAATGAGGCTGGTTGAGTGGACCTCTGATTAGGATAAAAGGTAACCCAAACTATGAGTGTGAACATCAAACATAAAACCAATCAAAATGATTATTTGTCCTAGATACGGGAAACATTTAAGGAAGAGTAAAAATCAAAACAGGACAAATATGACCATCAAGAGTGGGAAAATCAACATGTGGGGCATTGTGGGTCCAAATATAGTTGTTGTGTTTTTTAACCTCTCTGCCTGATTGAAAAGGTTCTCTGCCAATCACACTCAGCCATGACAGCTAATGCTTTGCGGCTCCTTCAACACTCTGTTGAAACAGAAAAACCTTGAGGGTTGTTGCTTTAATAACTGACAAAAAGTGGCAACATGCAGTACACCAAAACTCAAGAATTCAAAATACCCCCTCAGAAACATGCCTGGGATGTCAAATGCTACGACCATTTTTTTTTAAATAAATTGAATTGAGTAGCAGCAGCTGTTTATTAGGATTTAATGTGCAACCTTTAGGTCACAGTGCAGTCTCAACTCATAACCTCAAGGCCAACTGGTCTTCGACTAACATTGAAAAACTTCACGGAGAAAGGTTGAGAAGGTCAGAGCTGAGAGGCCCGGTCAGAATGATTGTCAGAAGTTTGCGGGGAGAAATCTTCTTTATAGGTCAATTAAGTGTTTCTTTTAAAGGTCACAAATGTATGTATTTTCTCCGTTCGTTCCTTCAAAGCCCCGACTCCCCTTTTCTGATCTCTGTGACACATAAAGCAGCGATAAAAGTTTTAAGCATCATAAACCGCCGGCCAAGTTTAAACTTCATGCCGGCTGGAGTCTTTGAGAGGCGAGTGCAGATACGAGCTTCACTGGAACGAGCCACAATGCCACCATTACACAAACGGTAATAATCTCTCCATCAAATAAAAGGGAGGGGGGGATCTAATAAGCATATTAACGATGAGAGAAGAGTGCATTTTAATCACAGATAAGGATTTTATCTGCCTTTTGTGGGCATAAATCTATTCCACACTTTAGCCTGTCTGGAAGATATTACAAACTAGATTGAGCTTGTATGTGAGAAGAAAAGAAAATCGCATTCACTCCAAATTCATTAGTTTTTCACGCTAACGGGGAGCAGAATACAAATTCAATCTGCTCTGAATAATGAAATGAATGATAAGATTTTAATAAAATGTGTCCTTTGATTCCTGCAGAGTTTTTTTAATTTTTATATCACGCCCCCACCTTTGCCATACAAAGAAGGCCCTAAGAGTCAACTCTGTAATTAAGACACATTAACACATAACACCCTAACAGACTGGCTCAATTACCACAAGGGCTATTAAATTATATTGCAGCGAGGCAGTGGAAACCGTGGTGTTCGCTATGGAAACTGCTATCTGCTTATTTCCATCTCCTTTATGAACTTATAAAAGAGTCAAAGAGAAAGAAGGACACATATTTTCATAGGTGTTTGAGGCGCTGTGAACTTGTTAACATTGTTTTTACATGACGTCGGTCAGGGTTGATTCAACTGAAGGTTTAGTCAAGTTTATTTAGTGAATTTAAAGGAATGAATAAAGCGAATAGAGCCTCTGGTCCAAAGACATATTGACAGCTGATTCACACAAAGACGACACAACATCACATCCAGTGAAGGACGTGCAAAAATCCGTTTATGTATAATACAAGCATTCAGCCTCCTGTGTGTGTTCAGGCTTCAGAGGTAGACATTTCAGCTATGAAGGGATAACATGTGGTCCAATGGAACTATTTAATGTGAATATGCAATTATAATGAAATGTATATGGCAGACATTTTCCTTGGAACATTCACACTGCTGTATTTTGGGTTTGAAGCATATTAGAGAAACCTCAGGCATGGTGTCCACACAGTAGGGAGTGTGCACATGTTAAAGTCATAGCTGCTCATCTATAGAGAACCTAAAGTGATCTTTCTGCTGTGCTGTGGCGCCCCCTGCTGGATGAGAAGATTATTGGGATGCACAACTCGTTCCAAACCACAGATTCTGGCTTTTGACCTCCAAAAAAGCAACACTTTTTTTGCAGACCAGAACAGGTGCTGGTCTCATTAAACAAACTCAAAGTGACTCTAAATGACCTTGAAGCAGAACACTGTGTCTGTAAATGCTTTGGCTAAATTGGTGTATGACTGTGTTGTGATTGTGTGTTTTAAAATTGTCTGTAACTGTGCCGTTACCATTCTTGGGACTCTCTTGAAAAGGAGATTTTTTAACTCAGTAAGACCTATCCTGGTTAAATAAAGGTAACAACAAAATAATAATGAATAAAACAGGTGATTTCCCCTCTATTACATTATAAAGAATTTTAAAGGTATAGGTAATTCACAAGGAAAAAAGTGGTGCGGTCCTTATTCTTTTATATTAATTCTTTTATCAGGTATGATTTTAGTACCTCATTGTTCTCCTGACAACTGAAGAATAGGTACCCAATTTCCCAAAAGCTATCAGACTATTATAAAAAATGTGTTCTGTCATAAAGCAACAATTAGAATCAGAATCAGAATACCTTTATTTGGGACATTTAAATGGTTACAGCAAAAAGAGAAGATGGACAAAAAAGAAAAGAAAACACTATTAGATTAAAGGGCAAGCAAAAAATATATAAAATGTACAAGTTACTTTCGTAGTAAGTAGATTCAAAGCAATATGTCTTATCCGTAGTCGCTCGAGACAACCCATAGCATTCTTATTTTACGATGAATTTGTCTTTTCAAAGACTTAAAGCGGACCTATCATGCTATATTTGAATAATATAGTGTAGGACCATACCTATATAAGGCATATTTATACTTTTTTTTTTCCAAAATACCAAACAGATCATGCATTTTAGCCATGCCTCATTTCGCTCAATTTGCACTTTTTTACCCCTGTTTTTGCAAGGGCTGATTCAGTGAGAACAGCACCACCTACAGGCCTGGCATATGTACTACAGCGTCTCCAGCACTTTCGAACGGCAATGGCCGTGGCTGTCTCCTCCTGATTGGTGGAGTTGGCCCAATAGCCGTAGTGCCACCGTCCTGACGTCAGGACAGTGTTCAAATCTGGATCAGTTTTTATCAGATCCGTTGCAGCCCCTTTTTTAGAGATTTGGGTATGGAGGAAAATAGAGAGGGTTGTGTTTTCTGACACTTGGTGAGTTCCCTGGAACACCGGGGACACATATTCATGTATACAAGACGTACAAAAGTGCATTTTGCATGATAGGTCCCCTTTAATGAAACTGCTTTTGAGAAGACCCTATAGAACATTTTCAAAATGTCCTTCATGCGAGGAATGACGATGGAAAAACGTGGTGTAATCCATTTACTATTATTGTTTTTTGTACTGAAGCTATACTATTAATTGTATGTATTGTGATTTACGATTAATTGACCTGTGAAACCAAATGCAATATGTTTCCTTTCCTCCCAAAACATGACCGATCAAATCCATCTCCTTCTTCCAAAAACAACTTTGTAATTTGACACATTTTCACAATACTGAGACGTTGCAAGGCTTTTCAAACATGTATTGTAAACACCTTCTGTAACTGTATGCAGTGTTAAAGGCTAACAATGGTATATATATTTAGGGATTACCAATCACATTACCACCCAATGGCCATGAGAGGGCAGCAGTAAACCATAATGTGAAGGTATTGTTTGTATCCTATACTAAGCACATAAAGTATACGCTCAGAAAATACTGTGCCAATCCTAATGATATGCACCTTTTTTGTTACTAAAAACTTGAATCAATTCAGACTGATCTTTTTTACTTTTACAACATCACTGACACTCAACCACTCCATAGAAAGTGCTCTTAAGTGTCTCTTTTTGTTCCTGTACTAAGACTCTCTACAAGACCTTATTTTCAGTTTCACAAATGTAAGAATCTTAAATCACATACATGGAAACCCCTCCAACATATCACATCCTGTTTCCTGAAAACAGTCGACGTGACCCCACACAGGTCATCTCAGCCCATTGTCCTGAAGAAGAGAGTTCATATTCAACTCAATAATAAATCACTTCAGACAGATATTGTGTGTTCTTCATCAGCAGACACTGTGT